TCTCCCTGATCCTCCTCAAAAGTATTTTGCTTCTGATTAAACCTTGCTCCAATCTGCCTTCCCTTCTTTCATCCCCCTCCTCTTATTCCCTTCCCTTCCTATTTTCCTGTAGGGTAATATAGATTTCTATACCCAGTTGAGTGTGTATGTTATTCCCTCTTTGAACAAATTCTGATGAAAGTAAGGTTCACTCACTCCCCTCCCCCTCCCCTTCACTGTAAAAGCTTTTTCTTGCCTATTCTTTGTGAGATAATTTATCCCATTCTACTTCTTCCTTTCTCTTTCTCCCAGTATATTCCTCTCTCACTCCTTAATTTTATTTTTAGATATCATCCCTTCATATTCAACTCAAACCTATGCTCTCTGTCCACTTATATTCCTTCTAACTGCCCTAATAATGTGAAAGATCTTATGAATTATAAATATCCTATGTAGGAATGTAAATGTCCCAACCTTCTTAAGTTTCTTATGATTTCATTTTATTGTTTATTTTTTTATTCTTCTCTTGAGTCTTGTATTTGAAAGTCAATTTTTCTATTTAGTTCAGGTCTTTTTATCAGGAATGCTTAAAAGTCCTCTATCTCATTGAATATCCAGAATTCACTTGTAAATCCATCTAGCCTTGGGGATTTTTTCTTAGGAAGTTCATTGATGGCTTGTTCAATTTCTTTTTTTCTGAGATGGGGCTATTTAAGTACTTAATTTCCTTTTCGTTAATCTGGGCAATTTATATTTCTCATAGTCACTCATCCATTTCACTTAGATTGTCATATTTATTAGCATACAGTTGGGCAAAAATAGTTCCTAATTATTGTTTTAATTTTCTCTTTATTGGCGGTGAATTCATGCTTCTCATTTTTGATATTAGTTATCTGATTTTCTTCTTTCTTTTAAATCAAATTAACCAATGGTTTATTTATTTGATTGATTTTTTCATAAAACCAGCTTTTAGTTTTATTTATTAGTTTGATAATTTTCTTAATTTCAATTTTATTAATCTCTCCTTTGATTTTCAGAATTTCTAATTTGGTATTTAATTGGAGATTTTCAATTTGTACTTTTCCTAGTTTTTTATTTTTATGCCCAATTCACTGATCTCCTTTTTCTCTATTTTATTCATGTAAGCATTTAGAAACATAAAATTTCCCTTAAGAATCACTTTGGCTGCATCAAATAAGTTTTGGTATATTTTCTCATCTTCGTCATTCTCTTGGGTGAAGTTATTGATTGTTTATATGATTTGTTACTTGACCCATTCATTCTTTAGTATTAGATTATTTAGTTTCCAAATACTTTTTAGTCTATCTTTCCATGGCCTTTTATTACATATAATTTTTGTTGCATGATGATCTGAAAAGGATGCATTTAATATTTCTGCCTTTCTGTATTGGATTGTGAGGTTTTTATGCCTTAGTAAATGATCAATTTTTATGTAGGTGCCATCTACCACTGAGAAAATGGTATATTCTTTTCTATTCCCATTCTATTTTCTCCAGAGTTCTATCACATCTAACTTTTCAAATTTTCCATTGACCTCCTTAACTTCTTTCTTGTTTATTTTGTATTTAGATTTATTTAGTTATGAGGGTGTGAGTTTGAGGTCTCCCACTAATATAGTTTTGTTGTCTATTTCTTCTTGTAACTTTCTTAATTTCTCCTCACCTGTTTATATTTTTCTCTCTCATTTCACCTTTTTCCTCCTCACCAGTGTTTTGCTTCTGACCATTGACTCCCTTAATCTCCCCTCCCTTCTATCAGCTGCCTTCTGTTTTCTTTCCCTTTTTCCCTAGTACTTATTCCCTCCTTTTTCCTTGCCTTCTCTCCACCTCTCTCTTTTCTCTCCTCTTTCCCTTCTTACTTCCCTATAGAGTGTGATAGGTTTCTATAATCAATTGAATGTTTATATTATTCCCTCTTTGAACAAAATCCAATGAGAGTAAGTTTCAAAAAATGCTTAACCACTTCTCTTCTTTCCCTCTACTTTAATAGGTCTTTGTGCCTCTTCCTGGATGTCAATTACCTTATTTTATCTCCCCCTTTCCTCTTCTCTGAGTACAATCCTTTTTTATGCCCTTCAATTAATTAGTTATTTTTATCAACAAATCAAATTCAACTTATTCCCACAACTCCTGTCTATGTATACCCCTTGCAAATGTCATAATATATATACATTTCTCAAGAATTAGAAGTATCATCTCCCTTGTATAGGGATGGGAACAGTTTAACCTTATTGAATAACATCTTTTTTTCCCTTTGTTATTTAATTTTTTGTACTTCTCTTCCATCTTGTATTTGAAGATTGAATTTTCTGTTCAGCTTTGTTTTCTTTTTTTATAATCAGGAATTGTTGGAAGTTCTCTATATCATTGAATGTCCATCTTTTTCCCTGAAAGATCATAGTCAATGTTCATGGATAGTTGATTCTTGATTATAATCCTAGCTCCTTTGCCTTCCTGAATATCATATTCCTGGCCCTCTGATCCTTTAATGTAGAAGCTGTTACACTTTGCATGATTCTCACTGTGGTGCCACAATATTTATTTTATTTCTTTCTGGCTGCTAGCAGTATTTTCTCCTTGACCTGACAATTCTGGAATTTGGCCATGATATTCCTTAAATTTTCATTTTGGGGTCTCTTTCAGGAAGTGATCAGTGTATTCTTTCAATGACTATTTTACTCTGGTTCTAGGATATCAGAGCAGTTTTCCTTGACAATATCTTGAAAGATGATGCCCAATCTGTTTTTTTTTTTTTTATTTATGACTTTCAGGTAGTCCATAATTCATAAATTATCTCTTTTGGATCTCTTTTTTTAGGTCAGTTGTTTTTCCAATGAGGTATTTATATATTTTCTTCTATTTTTTCCCATTATTTTGATTTTGTTTGACTGATTCTTGAAGTCTCATAGTCATTAGCTTCCATTTGCCCAATTCTAATTTTTAACAAATTATTTTCTTCAGTTAGCTTATGTACCTCCTTTTCCATCTGACCAATTCTACTTTTTATTTTTTTGGCAATTGGGGTTAAGTGATTTGCTCACAGCCACACAGCTAGTAAGTGTCAAGTGTTTGGTCTGAGGCCAGATTTGAACTCAGGTCTTCCTGACTTCGGGGCTGCTGCTCTATCCACTGCACCACCTAGCTGCCCCCAATTCTACTTTTTAAGGAGTTGTTTTCTTCAGTTCACTTTTTTCCATTTGACCAATTGTATTTTTTAAGGAATTGTTTTTGACATTCAATTTTTGTCCTTCCTTTTCTAAGCTGTTGACTCTCTCTTGCATTCCTCTCATTTCTTTTCCCATTTTTTTCTACTTCTCTTATTTGACTTTTGAAATCCTTCTTGAGGTCTTCCATGGTTTTTTGGACTTGACATCAGTTCATGTTCCCTGTTGAAGTTTCAGATTTGGGTACATTGACAATGTTGTTCTTTTCTGACTTTGTGTTTTGATCTTCTCTGTCACCAAAATAATTCTCTATAGTCAGTGTTCTTTTTTGCTTTTTACTCATTTTATTCACCCTTTTCATGTTGTTGTTGTTTTTTTTTTTTTAAAGTTGAGCTCTCCTGCTGGAACAAAGGAGGCATTTCTTGATTTCTTATAGAGTCATTAGCTTCCATTTGCTCCTTTCTAAATTTTTTTTAAGTTCATGAAGTCTTTATTAAACATCTTAAACAGTTGTGCAATTGAACCGATCAAGAATAAAACAATGTTTTAACCAGCAGCCCTTAAATTTGAAAAATATTGCTGTTAGGTCCAATTTCCCAGGTAAGAAGCACCAAGTTCAGTCTTCTGCCCAGGTCACCTCCCACTCTTCAGTCAATCCAAGGGAAGATGAGTGAGTGGATCAGCCTAGAAGCAAACTAAGAAAAACAAGAAAGTCTTCTTCCTGGGTATTTCTTTGTAGTATGGAATCTTTGAAGAGATAAAATCTAGTGGTCTCAACATGGAATGGAAGCAGCCACTTCTTCTTATCACCTCTCTTGAGTTGTTCCATTCAGGTTGATGTGTTCTACGGCTTGTGTTTTTTTCAATAATGTCCACTATTGTACAGATATCAACTGTGCTAGTGATAAATTCCTAATTGAGATACACAACATATATTCTTCTCATCTAATAAAAACAAGATAATCCCTTAAGAAAAACCACTGGTTGCTCATCAGCATTCTGAAAGCACAGATCTGCTCTCCAGCCCAGTCATGTGGGAATCAGCGGATTTAAAGGAATTGTGCCAAAGATAAAAAACCCCAACAGCTTGTGGGACTACCCCTAAGAAATGAGAACCCTGTAAACTCTAGAAATTGGGTAGGGATGTGGCACTGTTAAGAAAGACATGTTCTAATACCCAGGAACTATTGCATGAGTGATATCATTTCTTTCAGAAAAAAGAAGTAGTAGAGTTAAATGTGGACAGTATTGAAATGCCAAAACACATTTCATTCTAGCCTAATGAGCAGGAAACTGGGGCTCCCAGATGCCAGAGACTTTAGTGAAAAGTTGGGGCTTCTGCAATTATGACAGACTTGTGTTGACAATAACTCCCCTGGCCCAATGAGCAATATAAAGCTGAGAAGTTGGAGAGAAGGAAACTAATTACATTCCAGACAAGTTTCCTCTATGTAAAAACAAGATGTGAATTCTGCTGCCACATAGTGGAGATCCCTGAATCAGCAGAATTAGGCTAGCCAAGGGTCTGGTCCTTCATGATCTGAGATGAAAGGGTGATCATCCAATCAGTGAGGTGTAGGAATGAAGGCAGGAAAGAAAAACAGCAACAACCACAGACCACTGCTGGGCTTCAAATCAAAAGTAGCAGGTGGTGCTATTGTTCACATCATAAAAAAAAAATGGAAGTGACATGGCACAGGTGAAGGATGCCCAATCAGGAGTACACTAATTTAGTCTGCACAGACATACAGGAAACCTGTGATCAATCATATTATGAACATACTTTACCCTTGGGTTCTCATCTTTAAAGCTAAGCAATTAGCAGCATATGAGTATCTTAAGTCCCCACTATCCTGGGATCATGAGCTAATTCAGGGAGGTGGGAGCCAGTGCAGTGATATAAGAGACAATTCCCCCAACAGCTGTAACAGATAAGGAACAAAGCTGCCAGGAAGACCAAAGCACAAATCATGCATAGTTTCTGCTCCAGGAGGAAGCTTAGAAGATAGAAGCACTGAACTGACATGAACCAGAGAGCTGGGTTGAGTAGGACAGGCAGTAACCACTGAAGGCAATACATGGTCTCTGTTGGGCAGGGGAGGAGAGGCACAAGCCTCACAACAACAAATGAACTCTATCTGCTTTTTTGATTTTGTTTCCACTTAATTACAATGGCTTCTCCAATGTTTCAAGTAGCACCAACTTGTCCCATATTCTGAAGATATAACTGCAAATGTTGCCATGGCCTCATCACTTCTGCCACTGCTGCCAACACTGAAAGCCACAATGCCTTCCCCTCCTTTTCCCTTCCTTCCCTCTCCTGTTCAGCGTTATGGGCCAATGTCCCGCTCCTGAACTGGAGACTAGCAGCAGTGTTCACCTGAGTTCTGTGCTTCTTGAACCCCAAAGGCCCCTCTGCACCTCCCCATTAAGGTGCCCCATCCCTCTCTTCATCCACACCCAGTCCTGTCTCTGGATCCTAGGTTGCCTCCATTCTAATTTTTAAGGAATTATTTTCTTCAGTGAACTTTTGGACCTCCTTTTCCATTTAACCAATTCTGCTTTGTAAGTCATTCTTCTCCTCATTGGCTTTTTGGATCTCTTTTGCCATTTGGTCTAGTCTATTTGTTAAGGTGTTATTTTCTTCAGTATTTTTGGGGGTCTTCTTTAGCAATCTGTTTACTCATTTGTCATGATTTTCTTGCATCACTCTCATTTCTCTTCCCAATTTTTCTGTTACTTCTCTTACTTGATTTTCAAAATTCTTTTTGAGCTTTTCCATGGCCTGAGACCAATTCATATATTTTCTTGGGGGCTTTGGATGTAAGAGCTTTGACTTTGTCGTCTTCTTCTAATTGTATGTTTTGATCTTCCTTGTCACCAAAGTAAGTTTCTACAGTCTGAGGTGTTCCCCCTCCCACTGTTTGCTCATGATCCCAGCCAATAATTACTTGACTTTTTAACTCTTTGTTAAGGTAAGGCTCTGCTTCCAGGTTGGAGAGTGTACTGTCCCAAGCTTCAGGTGTTTTGTGTAGCTGTTATCAGAGATACTTTTAGGACCCTGTAAGTTTTCAGCTTTTCCAAGATGGTACGATCTACGGAGATGTGTTTACTCCTCCCCTGGCCTGTGCTCTGGTCTGTGAGTGATCACAGGCACTCTTTTCTGCTCTGGAACTGTGAGAAGGGTTCCCTCTCCACTGCTACCACAAGCTCTGCTATGCCAGTGCTCCTCCTTACCCCAGGATTGCCATCCAGGACTGGGACTCACTTCCAATTATGGGCAAAGCAACAGAACCCTGCCTCAGTCACAGAAAAGAGATTCCTATAATCTTCTGATCAGTTGTTTTGTCCCCTTACCCTCTACGGGCTGATATCTTCGGAAGCAGCCACTACTGCTTCCTCTGCCCCAGTGTGTGCTGGAGCCGGGGGTATCCTGTGCTCCTTTCTCACCCAGGCTCAGCAGTCCTTTCCTACTGACCTTCTAAGTTGTCTTTGGCATGTGTGGGTTAAGAAGTCTGGAAACTGCCACAGCTGCCAGTGATTCAATCCCTTGAGTTCTGCTCCAGGTCTGCTGGGGTCTGGTCTATGCTAGTGCGGCCTGTGTCAGACTACACTCCTCTCCCATCCTGAAACAAAAGACCTTTCCATTAACCATCCAGGTTGTCTTGGGCTGGAAATTTATTTCACTCTGTCTTTTTTTTTGTGGGTTCTGCTGCTCTAGAATTTGTTTAGAGTTATTTTTACAGGTATTTGGAGGGGTTTGGGGAAAATCTCAAGTGAATTCTTGCTTTTCCTCTGCCTTCTTGGCTACACCCCTGTATCTTCTCTTTGGTTGGTAAAAATCAACTCATCAATGAGAGCTTACAGACTGTGATTTTAGAGTACACACCTTGTATCTAGAGTAACTTTTCTAGGAGTCCATTTATAATGAGGTTTAGGGGCTATCCAGAGAATAAAGTAAATTCTCTTTGGTTTGGTGTTCAAGGACTTTCAGGATCTCATCTCCAACTATTTTTTCTAATATTGTCTCCCCTAAATCTGGACATAATTCTCAAAAAATTCCATGTACTTCTCTGCCTCTGAATGAATTAATGAAAAGACATTTATTAAGAATTAGGTGAATGCAAAGCATTGCATTATTGACTAAGCGGAAAATCAAGACAAGCTCCACTTTCAATTAGCGCAGTATATTCTAGTAGGGGGAGACAGTATAAATGAAAGGTTTCATTGATAAGTCAAATGGAAAGACCCAGTAGTGCTTGGGGCAAAATATTTAGTTACTTAGGACAGAGTAGGTGATAATGTACCTTATTTCATGTTATTTTCAGTGATAAAGCCATGATAGTTTCTGATGTTTAAATTAAAATTTTACATTACCAAGAGTATTGTGGTTAAGAACTTTCATTTCTAGGTTTTCAGTAACTGATTATGGAGCAAGTTGGGGCTGCAGCAGCTGCTAGGTAACATCTTAACTAGGTATATTCCCTTGATTAATGGCTGTAGGGACTGGGCTGGACATGTGGTTAAAGGTGTGAGGGACTACTATTTCTCTAGGTTTAGGGCACAGGTTTTGGCTAACATTAGTGAGATAGAATAGGATATGCTGGTGATGGTTTGAACAGTCTGCCACATTTTGCCTCCTGCCTCACTCTCAGGGTTTTTGTTGTTCAGTCATTTTCAATCATGTTTGACTCTTTGCAATCCCATTTGAGGTTTTCTTGGTAAAGATACAGGAATGGTTTGCAATTTCCTTCTACAGCTCATTTTATAAATGAGGAAACTGAGGCAAATAGGGTTAAGTGACTTGTCCAGGGTCACATAGCTAGTGTCTGAGCCCAGATCTGAACTCTGAAAAATGTGTCATCCTAACTCCAGGCCCCACAGCACAGTCTGTCCACTGTGCTAACTGGCTGCCCCAACTCTGAGTCTGGCTACCTTGCTTTTTTTTTTTTCATAATGGCATAGATGATGGGCTGTTGTTGGGGATCCATTATCCACAAATGTTTCCTCATTTGTCAAAGAGCGTGACTGTCCATAGGAAAATGTCACCTTTTACAAGCACAAAAAGCATGAAAAGAAAAGAATGTGGCTACAAAGAAAGTCATTCCCAATCTAGAATTATAAATTTCAGAAGACGATATTAGATACAAAACAAAGCAAAAAGACATAGCTTAGGAATCACAAATATGAAAGCACAAAGCAGCATCAAAGTAGCCCAAAAAATCTCGGAATGTGAAAATTTTATCTCATATACTTTTATAATCTGAAAAATTCAATTAAATATCTGGTCCCTTTTCATACAATATAATTATAGTAAAAAACAAACAAACAAAAAACAAACCCTCCAATCTATTCATAGGGATCTGACTAGAAATGGTCAAATTGATTAAAGAAAGGTACTGAAGATAAATTATGGAATCAGAATCCATGAGAAAAGGTTACAGATGTTATCACTCACAATGCATATCTGAAGAGAAATCATCTCTATAACATCCCCAAGTCATCATCCATCTTTTATTTGAAGATTTCTTATTAGATATAATCTACCTCTAGTGGAAAATCCTACCATTTTCATTCAGTGCTAATTGTTAAGAAGTTTTTCCCCCTAACTTTAAACATATGATAATAATTATTATCATAAGAATAATAACGAACAATTATAAAGTGCCAACTATGTGCCAGGTATTGTGCTCATTGCTTTACAATTATTATCTTATTTTTATCCTGAAAACAGTCCTGAGAAGTAGGTACTATTATTAGCATACATTTTTGTTTGAAGTTTACATTTTTTTCCAACATTGAAGAAACTGAGGAAGACAGAGATTAAGTGACTCTCCCAAGGTCACATTGCTAGAAAGTCTGGAGCTGGATTTGCACTTAGATCTTCCTGACAACAGGTAGAGTACTCTATATACTGTACCACCTAGTTGTATTCCTTTCTGAAATTTCTACTCAGTTGTCCTAGTTCTGCCTACTGGGGGGGAAGTATAACAGGACTAATGTATCTTCTACTTCATGGTTTTGTAATGTAAAAGTATCAATTTTCTTATGTGGCCATTTTATGCTGAAATGATGCTAGAGATAGCTGCAGTGCATTGTTTTCCAACAGTTAATTTGAATATCATGATTTTTTCAAAACTTTGGAACTTATGACCTAGAAACTCTGATTCATGGAATTGTTTGGGGACTATGAGAGTGGCTTTTGGACAATTTGTTTCATACCTGACAAAAATGTGGATTTGCAGTTTCTCAACAGAAGTTATAAGTCAGTCACTACAAGGAGGAAACACTGATTTGAACATTGCAAGACATTGGACAATCAGGAGTCAGGGACCAAAAAAACCAAGTTAGGAGAGAGAAGGCAGAGAAGCTGATAAAAGAAGCTAAAAGAGGGAAGCTCATTAGGGAAGAGGCTTCCCTTGAAAAATCAGAAAACAGAACAAAAAAATCTACAAATCTGATAAGACTTGGAATAGTACTGCTTGCAAAAGTGGATTCCACTTGACTACAAATAGGTAGACTCTGCTGTTAATGCAGCAAAATGATCTCATTGGAAGACAGTTCTACTCTTTGAACAAGGTGACTGGGTAGAAAAAGATACCTCTACCGGAGGTGAAGAACTGGTTACATAAGGTTGATCTGTTCCTTTGTATCATCTATAACTTGAGGGAGGGTTAACAACTCAAAAACTTTCCTACATTAACTTACTCTAAGGTGTGAGAGGGAAAACCAATCAAAGCCTGAATTAGCTTTGGAGACTCCAGTATTAAAGTGAGCTGCTTTTTACTGAAACCATCATAATGCAGCAGCACCTAATCAAGAAAATTGACAGAATTTCCCCCAGGGACATGTTTTTCTTTATTCATGTATCACACTGTTGGGCCTTTCTAAGTTTGTATTTACTCTCTGTACCCCTGCCCCACAAATATATGCTTCAGTGGTAGAGTATGACTCAAGTTTATGGGTGCAATGCTAGGTTTAGATTATTAGTATTTTGCTTTCTATTTGTACATGTTATGACTATTATTGCTTTTGCCTTCTCACTTAAATGTTTCATCTTTAAATTTTAATGGTGTTAAA